AGGACCAACTCAACGAGAAGAAGAGAAGGAAAGGGAAAAAAAGGAGAGAGAGAGAGAGAGAGAGAGAGCTGTCTCTTATACACATCTAGATGTGTATAAGAGACAGGGCGGTCGAGGGGCGGGGTTAGAGTGGGGGAGAGAGAGGGAGAGCAAAAACTTTATAACAATTACGAACATTTCAATCCCGACGTCTTTCTGCACGACAGAGGTCCAAAATGGTGTAGCAGAAGTCGAAGTGCGGCGATCCTACCTACTGAATATGTGCGTCACAGATAGAGATGAAGAGAGAGCGAAAAACAAAATGAAACAAACATATCTCCCCACCCCTGGCCCCCCCCGATCACCACCTACAACCAATCTCCCCCAGCTTATGGATCGCAACAAGCATCTCACATCCCAAGATCCTCCACCTTTTACTCTCCTTCTCATTACCCATCCCATCTCCAGTTATTGATCCCCATGTCCTTCCTCTTTCCTCTCCGTCCTCGCCCTTCTCCTCCGTCTCGACCGAGATAGAAAATGTTAGTGCACGTCTGAGATCGGGAGGGGATGGGTTCAGAAGTGCAGTGAAGGACGAGCAGGAGGTCGGGATTGACACCTGCACGAAGGGGAGGGCGGTGGGGTTGTTCACCTCTCTCTCTCTCTCTCTCTCTCTCTCTCTCTCTCTCTCTCTCTCTCTCTCTCTCTCTCTCTCTCTCTCTCTNATACACAGACAAGCCCAGCCAAAATTATGAACAAGTAATTAGATATTCAATACGAGCAATCCCGAGCACAAACATGGGGATAGAAGTCAAGAAATCCCCGAAGGGATGCATCTGCCGTGAAGAACGTCCCCAGAAACTGCCAAAGCAGTATGGTGCTTGTCTCTACGGTCCGTTTTGGCCGGCCGCCCACGCATCCTCTTCAGGAGTCTTGCTGGCTCAAGATCCTGGTGGTTGGCTTGTCTTAAGTACCAGACCTATCGTTCCTAAGCTCTCCTCTACACCGGGCCAAGGTCCCACTTGCCCAAATCAGGAGATTTTGGCCGTCCATCTTTGCTACTTAGGGTCAAGTATCTCTTAATTCGTGCAAGTGGGACCTAGCCCCCGTCTTTATAATAGAACTTTCCACAATAGTCCTACAGCCCATAGTATCGGACAGTCCTTCTGCGAGAAAAGCCTAGATCAATAAGCTCCTAATTTGCCTGCAGTCTTCCCCCGAATACAACGTACGGTCCTTATAGCTGAATTTAGACTGAAAGATGCACCAAATTCGGCTATAATGACCGTACGTTGTATTCGGGGGAAGACTGTAGATCAATAAGCTCTTAATTTCCTTTTTTGGACCCAAGGGGGGGGGGGGCAAAACTCACACGGACTTAAAAAAAAAAAAAAAAAAAAACTCACACGGACCCCTAGATAAGACATGGGCCTCGGCCCTAATCTTCGGGTAGGGGGGGGAAGATAAATCCGCCTACCAAAGGTAGTAGTTTTTTTTTTTTTTTTTTTTTTTAAAAGAGAGTGAACCTTCTGCTAGAATATGGAAAGATACACGACCATGATTTTTTTTTTTTTTTTTGTTAAAACTATGTTCTTCTCTTATCTATCTCATTTTTCTTTGCTAGTACTCGTCTATCTCATCCTCTCACTAGTGTATATGTAGTACGGGAGAACACCAAGCAACCCAGATCTCTCCCCAACCCACGGGGTAGGTTGGCACCACAGCAGTGGTGCGAGAGCAAGGCTGTACCAGTCCCTCATCACGGTGACGAGGGGTGGGCAGGCATTGCCGATGGGGGAAATCGACGGTGCTAGCGCCGAGCAATGGCCAGCCACTGCACCTCCCCCTACCCCCCCCCAAACCCCACATGGCGGTGTCTAATGGCCAATATTGTAGCTGCATAGCAACCAACAACATCAACCAAGGTCCTGCCAATGCTGGCTTGGGGGGCCAACGGGTTATCTCTAGCTGGTAGAACACCAAGCTTGTGATACGCAACCTCACGCCCCCTCGCGACTTCCCATACCGGGTCGCCGATGAGAGTTATAGGAGGGGCGTGGCCGAGGATTTTTGGTCGTAGGGGTTGAGTCTCCCGGTCGGAACGGGAGACTCTCGTTTCGAACCAGAGGTTATCCCGGGATCAATCTTTCGCCACTGAATCCCGGGGAGGTCGGGTCAGTCCAGGGTAACGAAAACCGAATAGTTCCTCAAGGACGAGCTGCCGCGGTGAATCAAAACGAAGAAGGGCAGTAGGGGGAGGAGGCCACGATGGCTAGGGACCGAACACCGGGCCGTCAGGTTTTCGTTGTATAGGTGGTTGGTTCGAGGCCTTCAAGCCTCGGCGTCGGACTCACAAAGTCCGCGCGGAAGTTCCCGAGAGGGTGAAGCGGCGGGAGAACTTGCCGATACCCGAATTCRAAATTGCGYGGGCAGCGCCCCCRCATTGCGGGAGAGCTYAGGGAAACGTGYCGCTCCCTCGTAACCCAGGACCAGTCRTYRCCAAGMACAYGAGTCCCCCTGGCGACACCAGYRACAATCAAACTGCGGCCGCCACRTGGCGTGARCGGCCGACCAGGGCAACACARTCAACTCCGTATAAGGCAATATTAGAGTCGGGGAATCGAAACGATCAATTMAGACGAACCCRTCTCCCCTAATACTAAACGCCCGGGGCGGGTCTCGCCAACAGACTTGCTCCGTTCGACKCAAAGCGYGYCGTACATCCGCATCGYAGTAGACGYCGTCGTCATCTGCGATGGGGAAGGCCGGTAACGAGATGGGACGATCGGAGGTAGGCGATGAACACGGGCCAGACCCCGCGCTCCCGGTCATCCGAACCAACACCGTCTCCATGCAACACTCGATGCAACCCTTCTCTCGAGGTTAGTGCGTCGGCAGAAGATGGTGAAATCTAAGTTTTCTTCCCCGTCGCGGGGGCGTCGACCGCGCGCGCGGACGCCGGCGGTTGACGTCGCCGGTGCAGGGACGAGAAGTTCAAAAGCGATGACTACCAGTTCAAAAAGAGAGGCGAGAGAGGGAGAGAGAGAGTGAGTTTACACCGAGACTGCGTGGGCGCGCAGGAGGGGCTGCGGAAGGGAGGGGAACAGCGGGATTAACACACTCATACTCCTAAGCAGACGGTCCTCCAGTTCTGTTCCCCCGTCCCCGCCCGGATAAGTACATACACACATACATGCACGCAATCAACAACCCTTGACAGGACATCCAATCATCCATAGACCTTTGACATCACTCATGCGCACAACAAGCTCCCATCACTCGGGGCCTCACACACACGTCATGCAGAGACAAAGCAGCAATGGAGATAAAAGCGAGTCNCCAGACCCCGCGCTCCCGGTCATCCGAACCAACACCGTCTCCATGCAACACTCGATGCAACCCTTCTCTCGAGGTTAGTGCGTCGGCAGAAGATGGTGAAATCTAAGTTTTCTTCCCCGTCGCGGGGGCGTCGACCGCGCGCGCGGACGCCGGCGGTTGACGTCGCCGGTGCAGGGACGAGAAGTTCAAAAGCGATGACTACCAGTTCAAAAAGAGAGGCGAGAGAGGGAGAGAGAGAGTGAGTTTACACCGAGACTGCGTGGGCGCGCAGGAGGGGCTGCGGAAGGGAGGGGAACAGCGGGATTAACACACTCATACTCCTAAGCAGACGGTCCTCCAGTTCTGTTCCCCCGTCCCCGCCCGGATAAGTACATACACACATACATGCACGCAATCAACAACCCTTGACAGGACATCCAATCATCCATAGACCTTTGACATCACTCATGCGCACAACAAGCTCCCATCACTCGGGGCCTCACACACACGTCATGCAGAGACAAAGCAGCAATGGAGATAAAAGCGAGTCMTTCTTGCRTACAAAAATTCTCAATTAACTGCYGCCCCCAGGCGCAGCCTTCAAAACTTCCCAAGACCACCGACCCCCATAGCCACAAGGCCCTGCCRCGGCCGGCGTCCAATCCCCACCACTGCTCAGTCCCTCMGACTGCTTMGCCCCGAGACTACCGCGGGTCCACCCCGCGTCGTCACTCCGCCCRTGCTTGGGCTCGTCGARCCTGTTCGGCGCYGCGGACTTCGYGCATAGCTCACGCARCATYGCAGCCGAGATCAAAGAGAGGGAGRGGAGAGSGTTGCGCRAATTTATARCRCGGGAGGYKGCGGGTTGTCAGCGCGAGGTGCGGGCAGCGCAGGGTGTAGATGAGCAGGACAAAAGAAAGGTGGGGAGTCAGAGGGTTCGACCCGCGGGGTTGCATGGTCCTACGTGATTGGGGTGTTCGTTCAAGTGATGCGCGGTTCCCGCTCTCCACATTGATCCGAGCATCCCAACTACGCAGCCAATCACTTTGCGGAGGAAGACAGGGTAAGGATCGAGCTGGGCGTAGGGGAAGACGAAGAGTCCTGCACGGGGGAAACGCGCGTAGCAAGAACGGAAGGTGGCGCGGGGACGCAAAGCAAGAAACGGGGGTGCGAGACGCGCGAAGAAGTCGGAGCTTGGGGTCGCGCGCACGCAAAAATTCAAAAAAATCCCAACCGAAACCGTTTCTTGGTTTTCATACCGCGGCCGCTATTCGCCCGCACAGGAGGTATTAACCAAAAAAAATGAAAAAGCCGTTTCAAAAAGAAAATAAAAGCAAAAATAAAGAAAACCCCCTTTTTGTTCGCATCCGTATTTCGGGGCTTCCGTGGGATTTTTCCTTAGGGATACGGCAAGCCGCGCGGTACGGGTCTGAGCTTATCACATCTATGATATGCAGGGGGTTCCGAAAAATTAGCAGTCTCTCGGCTGCTGATGTCATCATATTTTGGATGCTCGGGCGGCCTCTTCATCGTCAACTGGCCCGGGCATCTCCTATCCTACTTCGATGCCTTTCGCATCGTCAGTCATCTCCTTCTGATTATACATCCGATCGGGCGGCCCCTTCAGCTGGCCCGATCGGTAAGTAGTCCACTAAAAAGTTTGTTTTTTTTCTTTTTTTTTGCGTGCATACAACGCTTCTCGACGCGTGAACTTTGGGGCGTAGGAGAAGAAGACGATGAAGAGAAGGAGAAGGAGAGAAGAGGGGAGAGGTAGACGAGGGTGATCAAAGGAAGTGGTTGATGTCAGGATTAAGAGGGGGTGGGATAGGTGGAAGGAAGGCGGCCATTGCCGTGGGAGTCGTCGGAGCGTCCTCCTCATGGAAGTGGTGCTGGATGAACGAGGGATAGAGAAAGGCCCCCGGCACATGAGACAGGACACGTGGCACCAGATCCGCCACCGCTCGCACCACCCGCTTGCGCACCGAACGGGGTCCGGGACCCGTCATCACCTGATGAGTCTCGGTGTAGGGCCGCCGCTCCCGCTTCTGCGTCGCGAAGACGAGGAAGTGGTACATCACATTGGGACGCTGCCCGGTCTCGTAGATGAGCGTCCCCGCCAGTTGCGCCGCAATACACCCTTGAAAAGAGGGTGTCAGATATGGCTCCCACGCCGGATCAGGGCGCGGCGCCCCCGCAATGGCCTCGAGCCTAACGGTGGTGGGCTCCACCATGAAATCCACCTCGGTCGGATGGACCGTCCGGCTCGGAGGAACTACTAATGTCAATGCCGGGGCACTCCGGGGTGGCTGGCGGAAGCGGAAAGGTCCCGCGAGGACGGGGATTCTGGATACGGGATCCGGTAATCCCATTCTGCTTCCTCCTCCGGCTGCTGCGACTGATGGCCCGGCTCCATCGAGATTGAGATCGGGCACGCGCGGGAAGGGTGGCGATGGCACGACAGTCTCCTTAACCAGTGTCGCCGCACTCCCACGCACCGGGTCAAGATTCCGCGTGCGCATGGGCTGAACCACCTCCTCGCCGCCACCGATTCTGCTGCCTTGCGCTCCTGGCGACAGGTGGCATCTCTTCCTCTTCGGCGTCTTCTTGGGGGCCTTTGGCGGCGCCGGTCTGGGATACGACGAGGGAGGTCGCAACGGCTTTTCCTCTGAGAAGTCCTCCAACCTCTCCTCGCGCTGCGCAATGTAATCCGGAATGACGACCACGTTGTACGTTCTCCGCGGGGCAGCCGCCGTCCGCAATCGTGGCTGGATCTCCTTTTCCTCGCTCGCGATCACTTGCGCAATGGATAGGAGCTCAAGATGTATGAGCTCCAACAATCCCGGATCGGTCGTCTGGAGCTGGGCGAATGGGTACAACGCCACCCCTCCTTTTGCGCTGGCTTGGGCCGCGTGATGACGTAATAGACGACGAAGTGCTCCCCGATGCAGCGGTCTTCGAGGTCCATGAAGAATCGGAACATCCCCAACGCCACCGACTTGTATAGCGCACGGTGCAACTCCCACGCGTCTTCGTCTGCGAAGGGCAGCGGCTCCACGTCAGTCAGCTCCACCAAATACTCCGAGAACTCGCGCATAGGATAAGGGCCCGCCGTGAGTTGATAGGGGAGAGTGGTGTAAGAGAAGAAGGGAGGCATTTAGTACGGGGCAGGGGGAATAGCTTGGATGTTGAGAGGGGCAGTAGGAGGAAAAAGCGAGGGGAGCTGTGGCACCAACGCAATTGGTCCATCCTCTGCCCTGCGCAGCAGCGCTTCGTGGGTTGTGAATCGATGCCCTCCCCGTCCTTGCACTCTGGCCACTGATCTGGCCGCCTGCACCGCGTATTCGCGCACAAAGCTTTGCGCCAGCTCCTGACTCGGCTGCGGCAGGATCGTCAAATCTCCGATAAAGGTGGCGATGCTATGCACGAAGTTAGGTGCCACCTGGAGCGCGCGGAACTCGATGAACACTCGAGTCGTCTCCTGCCCAGGCAACTGCGTCACGTCCACATACACCCCCGCATATGTCAGCCGATCACAAAGTAACGAGTACGCTGCCAGATCAGCAACCCCGGGCGCTGGCATGTTCACCTGCTGAATGTCGTATTGCAACTGCCTCTCCTCATTGAACTGATGCCGCAACAAGCGATCTGCAAGCGACGTCTGGAAATGCTCGAGGGGCTCATGCTCCGACTGGCGATGGTTCATCCTGCTCCCTGAAACTCTCAGCGCCAAGGGACGAGGCAAATCAGGAAGAGGAGGAAGACAAAGAAGGAGAGGAGGAGAGAGAGGACGAAGGCTCGGACGGGGCAAGAGCCGATTCGCGGCTCGGAGATGGCCGAAACAGCCGAAGAGTTGCCGCGTGTCGCGTATGCGACCTGGCCTGCGTGCTAGGCCGGGGGACCAGCTTCACGGAGTGCTGTCCTCGTGCGCCAACTTCCGTCACTTCGTAAATGTCGGTATGGCGTGGGTGGATCTTGGAGGAGCGCGCATATTTCCGTATCTGCACCAAGTCCCCAATTTTATAACGGGGTATTGGGCCCGCTGTCGCGTGTCGGTTCTCATAGTCCCGGATCTGTCATTGATGCGTCAGATCTACGGCCCTTTGTCGTCTTCGGGCTAACGCGGGATAGGTCCGGGCCATCAGATCCAGGTAATGCTGGGCCTTGTCCTTGTGCTGGGCCCGGGTCACTCTAACTTTCGTGCCTACTAGAGGTGACAACTGCACTCTGGGGACGCTATTGGTTCTCAGTTGGAACGGGGACACCCCGGTGCTCCCGTGGGGAGTAGCCCGATAGAAGGCCAAAATGTGGTCGACTATGACAGGCCAGGGCCTGGTATCACCTGCCGTGATATTCCGTCTAAGTGCAGTCTTGATCATTCGGTTGGCATTCTCTACGAGCCCGTTGGCTTGAGGCCAGTGCCCTGGGGAGTATGAAATTCTAACGTCAGCCCTTACAAGATGTCGCTCTACCTGCCCCTGGAACTCGGATCCATTGTCCATATGTATCTCTTCTACGTCCAGGTGCATGCACAAAAAGCGATTAATGTACCAGGCTACTTCCTGCGAGTTCCGACTGGTCATTGGATACGCTTCGATCCATTTCGAAAAATGATCTACGGCTACAAGAAGAACATTGAGTTCTCCTTGATCAACAGGGTCTCTTGGCACGTTGATGTCCGTCGTATCAATACTGACCCGTTGGAAGGGGCGCTCTACCCGGGTAGGCACTATTGTACG